CTAAGTAGTTCCAGCGTTGACCGCTCGATAGCGCCGCTTACCCGCGCTAGAAAAAATCAGTCCGGGAACTTTCCGGACAAACTGTGTATATAAATTTCATTTCAATTAGGGAGGTAGTTGGGATTTCTCATATACGAGATGCAATTATAGCATCCTATATGAATTTTAGAATTGTTATTACAATTCGAATTTCACGTGTAAAAATTCACAAGTGAACACGTATATATGTATATATATACACGTATAATTTCCGCACAACACCTAGCGAACGGCTCTCATGACCGAATACATATTTATTATAGTGTTTATATTTTATTAAAGAAACAAGACATATCAGTGTGTTTCATTTACACTACTGAACACAGTATCGCCTGTGAAAAGAGCTGGAAAGCACACATTGTTAGTTTTTGGTGCGGCCGCGCCAAGTTTTTTTACATTAAATATTTTTTATTTTGAAAACTTCTACGTGGGTTTTTGACTTCTCACACAAAGCGAAATCTATCATGTATCATTTTACATATTTTAAGATTTTCCACGCAAGGCAAGGTCATTTCTTATATCGATGGGTGCTTTATATGTATAAAAAGTACTCTGGTCACACAATATTGTAAAGTTTTTATTATTTTAGAATATTTTATATTTTGCAAACATAAACTACTTACAAACTTTTATATAATATTTTATATTTTGTAACAGTATAAGGTAAATATGTATAAAAACAGAGCATCCTCGGAAGTCATTGTCCTTGATATATGTTATCAAGGACGCCTCCCTGAACATCAGTCTGAAGGTTTTAGCCGTCGCTCGTTGTTCGTTAAAAAATTATAAACAAAAGAAGTTTCGTCAAGGAACTGTTAATTTTTGACACCCTGTACATTTTGTTCGTGTTGCAAGCGTGTAGGCAGAGGAAAGCTACGCCCCCCCCCCGCAGGGAGAGGAGCTTTGTCCCTCCCCCCTGCTCCCCTCTCACGAAAAAATGAAGAATTCAATTAAGTGTCAAGTGAAGGATACAATTAATGTTCTACCAATGTCCCAAAACGTGGAATATTACTTCACATATCTCGCCAAATTCTTTCGATGTTTTGCGTGTGACAATTAGTATGAGGATCTACAAAATTTTCTTTGTGATTTACTGTATGGTGAGTGTAACCGTGCATATTGATGTTATTATATGCCTTCATTTTTTCGTGAAGGGGAAACAGGAGGGAGGGGCAAAGCCCTTCCCCCTGCGCGAGAACGCAGCCCCCCTGCCTACACGCTTACAACACAAGCAAAATGTACACGGTGTCGGAAAATAAGAGTTCATTTATGATATTTCTTTTGTTTATAATTTTGTAACGAATAACGAGCGACGGTTAAAAGTTGCAGATTGTTGTTCAGGAAGGTGTTCTTGACAACATATGTCAAGGACAATCACCTCCGAGAGTGCTCCGTTTTTATACATATTTACCCAGTATAAATATACAAGATTTTACTTGGCGCTACTTATTGATATCATTTCTTTTGTAGAATAGATTTTGTAGAGAAAGATTTTTATAGTAATACCTTTTCTAGAAATACAAGTGTTATATAATAACGCGTTTTATATAATAACAAAAAAAGTTAAGGCATGGTTTTACTTTTGACACAAGTATGTTATTGTAAATTGTATTTCTATTTAATATTATTTTCTATTGTATATTGTTTTTCAATATAATAACGTACAAAAGTTTACCTGGTGCTACTTTTTGATATTACTGTTTTTGTAAAACAGAGTTTTAGAGAAAAACTGTTTTGTAGTATATATAGAATAAAATTTTTGAGATATTATACATGTTGTAGTAGTAGTAATAGTAGTTTATTGCTTTTCGGCAGACCGGATTTACAAGACGTTTTTTAAAGAAACGTACCCAAAACTTTTACAAAACTTATACAATAATTATTTACATATGTCATACGTTCACCTTCGCAGTGTGCCTTCAGAACTTAAAATTAACTTTATACTACTTTATCGTGATGATGCTACAGCGTGTATTTCACTTTCCCTCCCATCACCTTCTTCCTCACACACACACACACACACCTCTCCGCCGAGCTTCCGCTTCCTCTCGCTTTTACTTCCATTCTCGAACCATCTATCGTCCCCCCACATCCTCTCACTCATTCTCACTCCCTGCTCAAATACCAATTTGCATTCTATCCCTCATCTCCACTCTACTCACTCCCGCTCTTCCTCCCCTCCTCTTTTTCTCCAGTCTCCCTCTATACCCTTTCTTTCCTTTTCCAACTCTTTCATCCAATTTTCCCTTTCTTCCTTCTCTCCCAGTACCCACTCTACAGCTACTTACCAACTTTCCTTTCCATCCTTCTACAGCTTGCATCTCTCCCAGATGTGCTCCCATGTCTCCACTTCCCTTCCGCACAGCCTATACAGTTTCCTTTCTTCTTCTCTCTAGTAATTCCTTTCTTCCACCTCATTTCCAAGCTAAATCTCGCCACTCTCGTCCATCTATTCTTTTTCCATCTTTTCTTCAAGTATTCTGATACCCCTTTTCCTTCCACCACTTTGTATCATCTATTATATTTAGATCCGTTTATTCTCTCCTACCTTTCCTCCATCTGCATGCTCCTCTCTTTCTTTTCCCACTCACCACTCCATTTTACTTGTTTCTATCTCTTCTATTTTTTTCTCTAATTTTTCGAAAGAAGGGGAATCTAAATTCCCCTTCTTTCGAAAAACTTTATTCTCGCTTTTTCCCAAACCGATGCATTACTACCCTTCTTTGTTCTTTCCCTCAACTCTTCTCAGCACTTCCTCGCTATTTCATTTCCTTTTCCCTCCTTTAGTCTCTTCTCGTACTCCCATGCTCTTCTTCCCGCTCTTAAACTTTGTTTCTCTCTTTGTAACTCTTCCCTTACTAAGTACCATAGTGTTGTTCTTTCCACCCCTAGTAGCCATCTCAGGTACTTTTCTTCTATTCTTTCCAATTCTTCCCTTTCCTTCCAACCCCATATCTCCACTTCATGACTCATCACCGTTCATACCAACCTATCAAATAACCATAACTTTTTTTCCCACTCTTTTCCAAATCTTCTCTCTTCAATCCCCCATACTTGCTCCATTACCGCCGCCGCTTTCTTCCCTCTGTCTTTAACTTGCCTCTCTTGATTACCATTTTTCCTCAACACATTCCCCAGATATTTGAACTCCTCGGTCTTCTTTCTCTTCCATCTTCAATCTCTCTTCTTTTCTCTCCCTCCTCCCTTCTTGAATCTCACCATATTTGTTTTGTCCGCGTTTAGTTCTACCTTTTTCTTATCTAAGTATCCTTCTAGTCTGTCTATCATGCTTTTCATTCCCTCCTTCTCTTCCGCTAATATTACCATATCATCCGCATAAGCCAACGTACATATCTTTTCTCCCCCTAATCTCACTCCCCCCCATTTTACTTTTCCCATCTCTTTCTCCAAGTCCGCTAAAATATTAAATAACATTGGACTGAGTTAGCACCCTTGTTTTACTCCTCTAGCCGTCCAAAAACTCCTCCCTATTTCCTCCTTATTCTTACCCTACATTTGGTCTCCCTTAATACTTGTTCCACTCTCCTCACAATCCTTTCCCTCACCCCTCGTTCCTTCATTGTTCTTGTTAACACTTCCCTGTCTACCGAGTCAAATGCGGCCTTTAAATCTGCGACCATTTTACCTTCTTTTTTCTCTATTTGTCTGTTCATTAGATAGTTTATGACGTAAATGTTGTCTATGGAAACCATATCTTTTCTAAAGCCTGTTTGGTTGTGTGATATTATCTTCTTTTCTTCCAGCTCTTCATTAAGTGTCTCCGCTAAAATCATTACATATACTTTATACAGTGACAACATTAAAGTTATCCCTCTATAATCCTCCAATTTTTCCCCTTTTCCTTTTTAAATTAAAGGCACAATCATTTTCTTTTTCCACTCCTCTGGCCAACTCTCTCCTTTTTAAATACGATTATAGAACTCCTTTACCCATCTTTCTATATCCTCTTCTCCATATTTCCATATCTCTTCTGGTATCCCATCAATTCCACTTGCCTTTCTCTCTTTCATTTTTCTTATCGCCCTTTTTACCTTCTCTCTATCTATATCTTTTTCATCTTCCTCTTCCATTTTCTCTCCTCCCCTTCCTCTTACCACTCTTCCATCAACCCCACCCAGCACTCATAAAGTACTCTCTCCATTCCTCTAACTCTATATTTTCGTTCACCCTCTTTCTTCTTTTTCTCTCCCTGTTCACAATTTCCGACACGTCATCCTATCTCGCGTTTTTAACTTTTCTCTTCTATTTTTCCTTCTTTTCCCTCTTTTTCTTCTCGCATAACTTTATATATACTTTTTTCTCTTTTTTATATTCTTCCTCATTCTTTTCACGCCTCCTCCATTTCCTCAGACTCTTTCTTACCTTCCTCTTTTTTTCTCTACAGTCTTTGTCCCACCATCCTTTTGCTCTCCCTCCCTCTTTCTTTCTCCGTTTCTTCCTCTATTTCTTGCAACTTTTTCTTCACTTTTCTCTTCATCTTTCCCCATAATTCTTTTAAATTTCTATTTATCTTTTCCAGATTTCCTACTTTTCTTCTAAATTGTTTTCTTCCTTTTTTATCCCAAATCCCCCTTCATTCTTTTCTTTCACTTTTATTCTTTTTTCTTCTTAATCTTTCCCTTTTCATCCTTATTTTCACGGAGTGGTGATCTGACTCAATCCTGTCCCCTATCTTTAGACTTTCCATTTTTTCTCTCATTTCTTCTCCCTATTACAAAATCTATAATCGTGTTTCTTTTTCCCCCTGTAAAAGTAAATTCTTCCTCCTCTTCTCTCTTCATACTTCCATTGCAAATACTCCAATCGTTCTCCTCCACCCAACTCAAGAATTTTTTCTCTTCCGTATTTATTACTCCATCTTTCTCTGCACTCTCTTTTTTCTCCTTCGTATCCCCCTCTCTCCCTCCCTACCCTGGCATTAAAATCTCCTCCTATTAATAACTTGAAGTCTCTTTCTTCTCTATCTGTTCATCTTTTTATTTTCTTCGTCATCTCTTCTATCCCGTTATTTACATACACCCCTATTATTCTCCATCTTTCCTTACCCATATTAATCTTCTCTATTACAGCCCCTTCTTTTTCCACCTCTATTACAATCTCTCCCTCTATCAAATCCTTCCTTATTCCCATAATCATTCCCCCTTTTGCCCTTTTTTTTATTCCATCTTTTACCGCCCATTGTACTCTTCATCTAATATTCAGATTTAACAACTACAAACAACTCTTTCCTTAAAAGCTTTAAACCATCCCTAAAAGGTTGCAAGAACTCTCCGTATTCAACTTTATTGGGACCTTTTCGATCTTCTCGAAATCCCTCATCTAAATCCCTCAGGCAGTCTTCTTTTCACATTTTCTCAACCTTTTTTTTCCAACCATGTGTTTCCATAAGTATTAAAACATCCTATCTCTTCAGACTCACCCAAAACTTCTTGTCCTTATTTCTTATTCCTGCCACATTCCAAAACATTACCTTCTATTCCTTTCCGCTACTGCTTCTCTTTTTGCGTGTCTCCTTCTTCTCCTCCAGCTTTTCCCCCGTCTGCTCCCGTCCTCTCATATTTTTCCCCCTTTTCTTACCCTTCTTTACCCTTTCTTGGCTTCCCCCACACTTTCTTTTCTTGTCATTCCTCTTCCATTTCTTAATACCTTTTCTTCTTCATTTTACCTCTACCATGTCTCATCTATTTTTATCGTCTCGAATCCTATCCTTTCTTTCTTTGCTCATTTCTCTCTTTGCAATCTCCTCCAGCCTCTATCTCATCTTTCTTTCTTTCCATGTCCAGTCTTCTATTATACTTTCCCTCCTTCCTACTAACTTACTTTGTTTCTTCATCACTTCATTATTTTGTTCCTCACTTTTTATTTTTACCCGTACATTTTGTACTTTCCCCTCTCCACTTCCTAATTTTCTCATCTTCTTGACCTCTACTGTCGCCCCTATCTTCTTGAAAATTTCTTCCACCGCTTTCATTCTCTCCTCCTCTCCCACCTGCAGCCTCCTTATAATTATATACTTTTTTCTTTCCTATTTAAACAAAAGGCCGATACGAGCAGTAAAATACAGGTTGGTCGTGTATAATAAGTTGTCTTTATTCAATAAATATAGACGTTTCGGTCACACAATTTTGAACCTTCTTCAGTATGAAAATTAAGTCTAACAAGAGAAAATAAAAGAAATAACAATCAATAAAATAAGCGCAAATCAAACATCACAATAAAATAAAAAATAATATATAAAACTCACTTAATTAAGAAAAAATATTTTTGTACACTACATCACTAACAGATAGATGAAATAATGTTAATGACTTACAACGATATACTGTGTACTGGCAAGAAAACATAAACAAGNCAAATATATATAGATATNCCCACTATTAAATCAGAAGATCAAAAGGTTCGCAATAAGTCGAAAAACATGTTTATGTGGGGATATCTATATATATTAGACTTGTTTATGTTTTCTTGCCAGTACACAGTATATCGTTGTAAGTCATTAACATTATATTATCTATCTGTTAGTGATGTAGTGTACAAAAATATTTTTTCTTAATTAAGTGAGTTTTATATATTATTTTTTATTTTACTGTGATGTTTGATTTGCGCTTATTTTATTAATTGTTATTTCTTTTATTTTCTCTTGTTAGACTTAATTTTCATACTGAAGAAGGTCCAAAATTGTGTGACCAAAACGTCTATATTTATTGAATAAAGACAACTTATTATACACGACCAACCTGTATTTTACTGCTCGTATCGGCCTTTTGTTTAAATAATTTTGACTATTTCACGAGCGATTGATTGATTTTTTCTTTCCTTTCTCTCTTTTCTTTCCAATCTTCTCTCTATCTCCTTCATTCTTTCTACCACTTCTACTCAGAGATGCCAGTTTGTGGACTCAGTAAGCACGCAGCAGCAAGTGGAGGGGATACGCACATAGGCGAACACAGTTGCATACGTGTGCGCTCGGCGCTTCGGCTAACGTCGAGCAGTAAAAGGAGACGGACACACATAACCGCTCTCTTTCTTTCTTTATAGCTATAGCTATAGCTAATACTGCCAGCCGCGAGAAGTGTGCCTGTTGCTCGTGCGTGGTTCGTATGTTCCTACTCTCTTTCTCCTCTCTCTTTCTCTCTCATACTTACATGGGCTGCGTTCCGATCTTCACTGCCAGTACTAGAAATCTTTAGCACATGTGACGTGAAGTATAGATTTTTAGTACTATCAGTGAATATCGTAACGACTAAAGAACTCTGACAATTAAATAGATATATAAAACTATAAAATATTATATATATAAAAATAAAAATAAAATAAAATGTATATTGTTTCTAAGTAATTAACTCTTATTTTAATACTAAATAATCAATATATTGAATATATTGAAAATAAAAAATAATCAACGATTACAAAAAGCAACAATAACTTTTTATATAATAAATATTACATAGACATTAAGTATTAATAAACTTCTTTCTTTTAACTATGTTATATTACAAACTATTGAATATTAAAGATATGACAAACACCAAACCCGAAAAATGTAATTATTTTTGTATCATTTATTATGTTATAAGGTGTTTACATCAAAGTAAACAGTGTGTTTAGTTATGTGTTTTAGTTATATGTTTTAGTTATGTGATTTCAGTACGTATTATCAGTTGGTTAAAAGTGCTTGTTTTAAGGTCATCGAAGCTACTGGAATTCAACGCGAGGAATCCAGTCAGCGTTTGTTGCGCGAAATGTGATAGCGCGTCCTCGAACGCGCTGACCAAAGGTCGCACGCGCGGCCGAAAAGATGCAATGGTCCGCATTGCACTTTTCGGGAACCGGATATCGTCCGACTTCTCCTCAGCCAATCACGATTGATTAGCTGAGGCATAAGAGCCGGCGTTAGACCGTGCGTGAGTAGAATCGTCCCGAATAGTGTCGCGGCCGGAGGCTCTGTGCGACAGAGCATCGCCTGTTTGTACTTATAAAAATAACGCGGGTGGTAATAAAAGTGTATACCGCTAGTAAAATAAATGAAGTGTATTTCTTTAAACAAAAATATATACAGTAATGTTATTTATTCCCGGCGTCTCCCTTCGCGGCATCCAAAAGATCCCACGGAATAACAATTACAACAAAACATTTATCCTTCATGAAATACTTTGGCAACAAACACTGCGCTTTCATACATAAAGAAAAACAATATAAATAACAATATAAATAACAACGTAAATAACAGTGTACATAAAAGTATATATGTGTACAAAATAAATAAAAACCTTGTGACGGGCACCTCGCTCTATGATGTTGTAGCGAAGGTGTCGCACACCTTCGGCACGTCTTTTCAAAATTAGATCAAAGATTTACTCACCAAACTTACGATTGGGCGCCAGGCGTACATACGCACGCCGTTTCCAAAATCTACAGCCAATTATTCAAC